TTGAACCGCCAGCCTTCTGGTTAGCAGTCAAGTGCCTTAGGCACTATGCTACCAAACCCAGGCATGGCTTTGTATTTCTAGCTCCACTGAAGTAATGATGAAAGAATGATGAAAAAAAAAAATTTGGAAAAAGATATGGTCTTACTGAGTATCTTATGTTAATGCTGCCTTTTTTGCAATGTTAGGTTTTGTCTGCAGAACTGAACATGTATGAATCACAGAGCCAAGAATATAAGTATGAGATTGAGAGACTCACCAGTGAACTGATGAATATAAAGAAGAAATACCTCGCTCAGAAACGTAAAGAGCAAATTCACAAGTAAGCTTTAGTCCAATGTTCTAATTTTGTTGTGTCTATTAACCTTCTGATAAGAAACTATTTGGCAGTTACAGTCATGGAGTTGCATTTTTCATTGTTTTAACTAAGTCACCAGGAGCCACAGTGGTGCAAAGGTTAAGCACTTGGCTGCTAACCAGAAGGTAGATGGTTGGAACCTACCCAGCGGTTCTGCAGGGGAAAGACCTGGCAGTCTGCTTCTGTGAATATTGCAACCCAGGAAACCCTATGGGATATTTCTGCTCTGTCCTCTAGGGTAGTTATGAGTCAAAATTGACTAGATGGCATACAGCAATAAAAACACTGAAGTACATCATAAGGTCAGTATCTTATCTGATATTGAGGACTGTCCTTAGGGTCCTAACAGGGTTTCATTAGTATCTGCTCATGGAAGGGCTTAACAGAGAGTGGAGGAAACAATGCAATTCTTTCCCCCTATTCGTGTTTTGGAGATAGTCTTTCCGTACTGTATTTGCAAATGAAGCTCAAAATCAGCCTTGTGCAAAGTGAAGCAAATTCACATTGAAAAGTACATGTAATTTTATTAAGGAGGCAGGCTTGATAAAGCTGATGGTTCTAATAATGCAGCTGTATACTGTAATAATTTGCAGTTCACAAGTGATTTCTACCTATGTTTTGGATAAACTGTCTCTGAACCATCTCTGTGTCTAGTAACTGACTACATTGTCTGCTGTCGGATATTGACATATGTCCTTGACTTAACTTCTAGGAAATGACAATGCAGGTGTCAGGGTGACATTTTCATTTGCCTGATCCCAGGTTGAAAGAGGGGTTCCCAAATGAATCCGTGGACTTGAAACTTGTTTTGGCCGTGGCTGTGTGACATTGACAAAACCAACTAGTTAATTCTCTCGTGACTTCCATCATGGGTTAAAAGGCGTGTTTGGTATTTCATCTACGTGGGCATTTCAGGTTATGGTGAGAGATGGTTTGACTGCGTCTGTCTGTGATTCTAGAGCAGAAAACAACTAGATAGAATAACTCATTTGCCAGTGAAAACCTGCCCTTCTTATAAATCAGAATATTTCCCCCTTCCACATTTAGATGCAGTTCCTTGTAAAATAAAATCCTGCTCTAATTTATACGAGTCTTTCTTAATGTGTGGGTCTTACAACCCTCTGATTCAGAATCACTGGTGAGGTGTGTTAAACATGCAGGTTCCCGGGCCTCAGTTCCAGGCATTGAGATTCAGCAGGCTCTGGACAGGCTTCCGAAAGCTGGAATTTCATAGACCCCTCATGAAAATGCGCATTAAAGTTTGAAAGTCATTGATGTGAATTAAATGAACTTCAGAGTGCTAACATTATAGCTTTCTTTTAGGACACCAAAGTTATGCTTATAAAATGTCAACATGTCTAGTTTTCAAATGAGGCAGGTATCTAGTGGAAGGGCCTTTTGAACTTTCTTGATGGCATACCCTTATTAGTGAAACATTTTTGTATCACTCAATATACATCACCTTTTTATTTTAGAGTAGTTTTAGATTTACACCCAGTAACTTAACTTATAATATGCAAATACTGTTGTCAATTTGTGAGTAACTTTGGTTAGATACCATCAAGTCAGCTCAAGCCCATGGCAGCCTTATGTATAACAGAAGGAAATATTGCTTGGTTCTATGCTGTCTTCATGACTGTGGGTTTGTTTGAGTTCATTGTTGTGGCTAACGAACGTATCAGTCCATCTCATTGAAGGTTCCCCTAGTTTTCATTGGCCGTCTACTTTACCAACATGATGTCCTAGCCTTACAATTGGCCTTTCCTGATGATATGTCCTAAATAAGCTAGTCAAAGTCTTGCTATCCTTGTTTCTAAGGAGCATTCTGTTATACTTCTATTGTAATTATTAGAAAAGCATCCTTTATAATTTTTAAAGACAGGAGTATAAATAGAATCTCTGATATATTATTTCTACCCCAGTGGATCATCTGACTCACCTTCCAGAGTTCATGTACTCCATTTTGGAGACCACTGATGATCTAGTTTACAAAGTTACAAACAGCTACCTTGGCTGTTATGAGTTATCTTTCTATAGCTGATTAACTTCCATGCTTTGACTCTGGGGTTGGCCTAGTCTCCTTAGACCTTTCTGATCTCCAGTTGTTTGCTGGACACAGAGATGTGATGAGCCTCCACTCTGGTTCCTATGGCCCATTCTCTAGAACTGCACTTGTCCCCTACGCACTACCGCATGCCATACTTGTGGCTATTCAAATCGAAATGAACTGAAATTAAATCAAATGAAACATTCAGTTCCTTAGCTGGTACACCTTCACGTGCTTCATAGCCACAGGTGGCTCTGGCATCGGTTAGCACAGATGTTTCCACTGTCACAGAAATTTCTTAGGGATAGGGCTGCTTTAGCATCTTGGCCTTACCTGTCCTCCTCTTGCCCTTCAGTGCTTATTACTTACAGTCATTCTGGCCTGGTTAGAGTTTCATAGGTGGTTCCATTTAGTTGGGAATCCATAAACTGGAGGTAGACAGAATGATGAGTTCATAGGAGAATAGCAAGGAAGATTAAGGAGCTGAATAGAAATATGCGGAGCTAAGAACAAAATTGCTGAGATGGTTTAGACTGGAAGGAAGAAGGCTGAAGGGAGCCATTATAATGGTCTATAAATACATTAAAAAGATAATATAAAGGAGACATTACTCCCATTAGTCAGCTTAGACCAAGCCAGAAGCATTAAGCTAAAGTTCCTTCAGAAAGGAAAATTTAGGTTATTTAAGGCAAGAGAGGGCAGGGTGGAGGGGGAGCAGTGCTGCATCTAACAACAGTCAGGAGCCAGACGAGTTGCCAAAGTACATGGAGGAATCCTCTTTGCTGGATCCACTCAAGGCGAAGCTTTTGTCCTATTTCTGGAGCATAGTTTTCTGTAATAATGAAATCAATTCTGCTAAAAGACAGCTGGATTGATTAACCAATTCTCTACAGATTCTTTCCAAATGGAATAATTTAGAATAATCTCTGCGGATGTCCTGCCCGCACATGCCCTTTATAAAATAGCAATTCTTACCATTTTTTTTTACTGTTTTGCCTTTTTTCAAGCACCCTTTTCATCATGCTCAGATCCCAATCTGCACCCTATCTGTCCTCAACTCCCCTTCCCTAGGCCCCCAGACTGGTCACGTGTCTGCAGTAACAGTCAGGTTCGTTACCCAAAGGTGGCATTCAGTCCCCTAAGTTGATCATTTGTCATCCTCAAGTACAGTTGCTTTTGGTCTTAGCCATTTGCTTCTTATTTTTTAAAAGGTATTCCACAGATGTTTTCCATAAGACCACTTATTACACAATGGGTAGCTTGTATAAACCTAAGCTACCTCTGCAGGAAACCTGAATGTGTGTGTATGTCTGTATGTGGATGTGTGTGTGTATTTAAAGGAGATCTATATAGAAGACATAATGTAGATTTTAGGGTAGAATTCCCTCTCTCTGTTGTCAAATACAAGGAGCTCTGGTGGTATAGTGGTTAAGGCATTTGGCTGCTACCAGAAGGTTGCTGGTTTGAACCCACTAGCCACTCCTTGGAAGAAAGATGGGGCAGTCTGCTTGAGTAAAGATTTACAGCTTGGAAACCCCAATGAGGGTTACTATGAGTAGGAATTAACTTGATGGCAATGAATTTAGTTTTGATTTATTGTCAGATATACTACCTTATTTATCTTTTTAAGATCTTCTTGTTTCTTAAGTGTTTCCAGTAATAAATGCTACTTGTTTAAAGTCACACTATTTTATAAATGTCCAGGTTTGATGAAGATATCGTGTGTGTGGTAAATCCATGTTTCCATGGGAACTCTGGAATATAAATGTTGATTAATGAATTAGTTATATTTGAGCCCAGAGAAAGATGCTGCTGACTGATCTTTGGGCATAAACAAATAGTTTCTAAAACAAGAAGATGATTATAAGTTAGAAGCCAGCAAGTTCACAGTGTTTGAGTTATAATGAGGTCTTCTTCTGTCCATAGTTAGATCAGCAGTGGGAGTCACACTTTAATTGTCTCTTTTCCTAATTCTATGTGTTATCAGCAAATACCTAATGAGGTTTAAACAACCACCTTACCTAGAACTAGAAGCTTTAATCAAAGCAGTTTTCAGTGGCTAATTCATTCTAGGAACTTAGAGAACATCAAACTTAGAAGAGGAAAAAGATGTCAAGAAAACTCACTTTCTTCCTGTCTTCTTACAGAAACAAGGACAGAATACCCTTGGAGAACACCTTCTCTGTGACTAAACCAACTGTCCCTCGTTTTACTGGGGGTGGATTTTCCCTCAACAAGTCCTTCAAGGTGAAGTCCTAACTTGAAGCCCCTGGCTGGGTCCAGTTGAACAGGTCATGAAATTGGCTCTGGAACATTTTAGAGGAATCTCTTTTCAAAATCTTTTGGATTACAGATTTTTTTGAAGGAAAATCAGTGCTCATATTCCAGGATGGAAAGAAAGGCAGAACTATCATAGTCGTGTACATGTGTGAGTAATGAAGTTTTACTCAGTCCCTGTGGATATTAACAGATTGTAATTATAGCTATTCAATTAGGCTGACCCATTGCATGAGGCTGATCTTTTGTTACCACATGTGGACTGATTTGAAACACACCAGCTCTAGATACTCCATATGGATGAAGCTTTGGATATTAATTTCGATATTACAAACATCAGTGCACTGAAGGTCTTATATTAAAAAAATATTTTTGAAATGCAATGCATCCCCTCTAACCTTATTATAAGAAACTATTTTAATTATTTCTCCTTAACAAGTCATTACATGAGATGAGAAAGAAGGACAACTCTCAAGTATTTTGAGTATTTTGAGAATGATTTCTATGTGGAATTTGTTTTCAGGCCTGGAGGAGGAAAATCTATTCCAAAGAGACATACTAATAAATACTTCATCATAAAAAATAAAAAAATAACTTTTGTAGATATTTTGATCTTTGCTTTGGTAGAGTATGTAATTAAAGTTTAAACCATTAAAAGTGTTTAACAAGAATTTGATTCAGAGGAACTGAGTGTATAAAATTAGGAGTTCCAGCTGGTATATCCTCCAAAGGCCAGCATTTTGAGCCATTGAATCCATTGTGTTTTCTTTTTGTTGAAGGCATGGTTATTTGGGCATCATTTCAATGTTCTCTTATTAAGAGTCTTTATTCACTAATATTGTGTGAAGATACTCTGGCCATCTCTCTCTCATGATAACTCAACCTACAAAAAAAAAAAAAATATATATATATATATATATATACACACACACATTGAGGAGTAAGTAGCTCAGGGATGAACAAGGATAATGTAAGTGGATTTTAAAAATATTCTAGTTGTGCTAAGGGACCAAGATTTCCCCTGTGAAGAGCAGGAGTGATAAAGATCTCTGAGATGTTTGTTCAGATCATTTAAGGGGGTGGGACTTCAGAGGGGTCTTCTGGGTGTTCTGTTGCCCCTTGCAGTTTACCAAGGGCCAGTGTCCTGTCTTAGATGGGGATAACCAGAAGCAGACCTAAGATGATGATGACCATGAAAGTGATTTATTATGAAGTGATCCCTAGAAAATGAGTAAGAGAGTGAGGAAGTGGGTTAGAGAAGGGAAGATGGTCAAGCAAAGGTGTGCTATCAAGCCAAGTTCCGCGGAGGGAAGCTTCGGCTGGATCCTGTAGAGGGGAGTGTGATCACATCTCAGGGTTGTTCTCATCAGGAGCGAGGGAACTGTGGTATTTCTATCCCCCATGCTATCAGTCATTGGTCAAGGACAGCTCTGGAGGGACACTTCTGACTTCCCTTGCCTGCAGGCAAAGCAGGCTCTGGTAACCTGAGGGCAGCCCTCAAACATAAAGACTGCAGATACTGACTGTTGGAAAGGAAAATGGTTAAGGGCTCAGAAGGAAATGGGGGGTGCAGTGACATCTTTTGCTGCACCTCTCAAACTGGTCTTGTGAGAGAACTACAGATGGAATTCAACCTCCGGTGTAGCTGGCAACCCAATGGTGAGGTATAACCATCAGCTCTTTGGGCACCATATAGGGAGGATGGAGCTATGGGTGTATACTCTAGAGAATTCATCTGGAGGATTTTAAATGTAAAGAATCACAATGGACCATTTCCATTTTTGAATCACTGATGGTACCTTCCCCCAGAGACAACCATGTTCTCTTTAGAACAAATGATTTTACAGATAAGACAGTTATAACACATCTACAACACTGAAGAAGGTCCTGTCCCTCCAGGGACATTTTGAGGTATAAGTAGAACCACCTTCCTTCAGAATCCTTGGGTGGCTTTATAAGAGGTTCACTTCTCCAGGAAAATGGGGCCTATGATTTTTGATCTTAGTGTGGCATGGTGTTGCTGAGCAAGTGTTCTGGAGACAGATTCTGGATTCAAATCCTGGCTCATCAAAACAGTGGGTTGCAATGAGTATTAAGTGAGTTGATACATATAACATGGTTAGAACAATCCCAGGCACATAGTAATTGTTCAAAAAAATATTGCCATTGTTATGATTAAATAAGAAGATGCCTAACATTTTGATATTAGAGAATAAAAGGTGTCCCACAGTACTTGGTTGTTTGATCAACTCTAAGAGTGTTTCTAATCTTCATTTAGAGGGTGGATGGCACTGAAGTGTCTAGTGAAGCTGGATTTGGTAATGTAATTTATAATTGAATATCTTAGAAATACCACATTGAGTACTTGTTCTTGTTGTTGTTGTTAGGTGCCATTGAGTCAGCTCCAACTCGTAGTGACCTTTGGACAACAGAACAAAACATTGCCTGGTCCTGTACCAGCCCCACAATCCTTGCTATGCCTGAGTGCATTGTTGCAACCACTGTGTTGTGCTTCCTAGTGACATCCATATATTTTTCTTAGAGCTGTGGTCTGTGCACTATTTGACTCTTCACATTTGGAAGTCATCAGTCTGTCTCAGTCTTTCTCCATTCACCAGAGGGAGAGACCTTGGTGTCCTTTAGCTGCCACCATCTTCCTGTTTTTCTCCATGTGGTGGAACAGTGTGGTTGGCCTCTTCTGATGACAAAGGTCCCATGAGCGAGAATTGTTGAGGGCTCTGGGAGCTGACACAGCGGCCCTATTAGGCTCAGTACACTTACATTCAATTGGAAGAGGAGGGAGTTAAGGGTAGGAAAGGTGGAGATAGCATTGCTGCCTCTCATTTACTGGGCATCCTGACAGCCCAGGGTATTATAAGCAGTTACGATTTAGGTGCAGGGGTTACCACCATAGCCAAAGCACAAAAATGAGCTGTTAAAAAACACCAAGATTTGCAAATCATTAAAAATAACTGTGCACTCACCAACCTTTGGACCAAGATGCCTTAAAAATCACGAATTTGAGCAGCATCGTAAAGCAACATTAAGAGATTGTACAGTAGCATAATTTTACCCTGGGGTTTTCAGAGTTTCCAAAAGGAGTCATGCTGCTAAATCATCTCTGACTCCTGAGTGGGTTGATAGGAAGCTGGTATGGCTTCTCTGTTGATAGAGAGAAACATGATAAAGGGGACTCCCTGGTCATCATTTGCTCAGCATGTGCTCCTGTAGCCAGGCTTTTATTATGCTTCCCTCTGAAGAACTGTTTAGAGCAAAGGTTGGTTACTGGGATAAGCACAAATAGAGGCAGTGGGAGTTGTGCTGAGAAGGTGGCAGCAACTCTCCTTGTCATGGGCCATAATTTTTCTATAAAAATGAATCCAGGGTTGACAATTAGCATCTGGTTTTCTGACTTGCTTGGCCAGATTCTGAAGTTTGACCTAGGCCAAGATATCCAACAGAAATGTAATGAATTTTGAGCAGTTACGGCATTTCAGAGCTTGAACAATTTGAGGAAAGATATTCTCTCTTTTAAACATAATCAATTATATGGAAATCTGTTTAAAATATTAAAGTGGTAAAATGATTTAAAATATATATTTCACTATTTTCTTTGTAGTAGATGGGAAATATTTTTATAGCATTATCCATTTTTAACTTCTAATTCAATGCTGTTTTAGTATACCATTTCTCATATCTATTATTTAAAAGTTCCATTAGGGTTTTGAGACCCATTAGAATTTTATAACAGTATGAAATGTGGTATCAACAGGATGCCATTTTTCTTTTTTATAATTAAAAATAGATTTTTTCCCTCATTTTAAAGTACTGATCGTTACAGAAAATGAGAAAATACAGATAAGCAAAAAGAAGATAAAAGTCATTAATAACCTCACCGCCCACTGAAAACTACACTCATCTCATTCACGTGGGTGGTTGTACCAGCTGTATAGCCCCGCCATTTGTTCTGATTGGTTGATCCTTGTGCTTACCAGTTGTTCACTATTTGAATATCACCTTTGAATACCAATCCTTTACTTTTGAGTGTATCTCTCTGCATCTTTAATAACATGTACATATGGAAAATCAACTTCATTGAGATACAATTTACATACACTAAAACACTATTTTAACCATCCAGTTTGGTAAGTTTTGACCAATGCATATCATATGCCCAAGTAACTGCTGCCACAATCATCAACCCCTAAAATTCCCTATGCTCCTTTGCAGTCAATCTCTCCTGCCCTCATTGTGCCCAAGCAACTATGAATCTGATGGCCGTCATTGTATGTTGATTTTGTCTTTTCTAGAATTTCACATAAATGGCATAATACATTATGTACTTTTTTGTGACTGGCTTTTTTTTCACCTAGCATAATGTTTTTGAGGTTTTTCAATGTTGTTGTGTGTTTTAGTAGTTCATTCATTTTTATTGCTGAGTAATATTCCATTATATGGAAATAAAACAATTTGCTTATTGATTTACCTGTTCATATACATTTGGGTGGTTTCCAGTTTTTAGCTATTATGAAGACAGTTGCTATGAACAATTATGTACAAGTCTTCATATGGACATATGATTTCTTTTGGGTAAATACGTTGAGTAGAATTGCAAGATCAGAGGACAAGTGTATATTTAAGAAACTGACAAACCCTTCACCAAACTAATTGTACCATTTTATGTTCTTACTAGCAACGTGGTTCTAGTGGGTGTATAGTGATACCTTATTATGGCTTCAATTTGTATATCCTGATGACTAACAACATTGAACACCTTTTCATGTGCATTTTGGCCATTTCTAGGTCTTATTTTGGAAAGTATCTTCAAATATTTTGTTTTCTTATTATTTATTTATTTATTATTTTTACTATTGTTAGTCATAAATTGTGAAAGTTCTTTGTAGGTTCAAGATACAAGACCTTTCTTTGTTGGATATAAGTATTGGAAATAATTTCACTCAGTCTGTGGCTTACCTTTTCAT